AAAAAAAAAAAAGAGAGCGAGAGAGAGAAAAGAGATTAACCAAATAAAGACATTTTCCCTTTTCTTAGGTAGACTTTCTGTAAAGGCCTCTAGAAGCTGACAGTCCTTTTTAGATAAAATACCAGAGAGGTGGTGGCATCTCAGGGTTTTTAAGGCCCAGCTAGACACAGCCTTGGTTGGGATGATGTAGTTGGGACTGGTCCTGCTTTGAGCAGTGGGTTGGACTAGATGTGACCTCCTGAAGTCCCTTCCAGCCCTCATTGTCTATGATTCTAAAATATTTGGGATCACTCTGAAAAGCAATATCAGAAATAAATTTTGGTTTGCAAATTAATTTTGTGAACTGAATCTTGCAAACCAACAATATTTCAATTTCCCTGCCCCCCTTCCCACCCTGCTGAATAAGACCAAGTGTTATACTGGAATCAGCACTCGCAGTAGAGGTGACTATCTTTTTATTAGACCAACTAGATTTTTGCAAAAACAAAAAAGGGGCTTTAATTCTTTAACGTTATACTAGGGGTTTTCAAGAAACAACCCTTCCCCTCCCCTTGCACTTTTCTTTTTTTGAAAATTTCCTACAAGAATGTGATGATGTCTCTTTGGCTTAGACTGGTTTTTCATCAAGAAGGGATATTGTTGAAACTGGTGTGACCATGGTGGCTCAAGGGCTAGCTGTATATATGTGCAACTGTGCCATGTTTCAAGCCTCCTTGGGTTTTAGTGTTTGTTTTTTTTCTCGCAGTGAAAGGAGAGGAAAAGAATGACCGCTGCAAAAAACCAAGTATCCATTGTATCCACCCCATGTAGCTCAGTACCAGCTAGAGTCTTCTTAATGTACTAACAAAGTTGTTCTCAAAATGCATGTGGATGGGCGGGAGGGTCTTGAGTCCAAGGATGGAGTTTGGACTGGGATGGACTGGCTCTGCCACTCATTCCAGTTGCTTCTGTTTGGGCTCCAATATGAGAGACCTCTTCTTTTTTTGACAGAATTTCACTTCTGGGTGTTGAAAAAATGTGGGTGTGGGGTTTTATACACTTGGAGAATTCTGCTGGTGTGAGACCTCTGAGGAGGATCATGGGTCAATGGAAAGCATGATCCAAACCATGCGCTGTTGAGTCTTAGGCACTCGCCAAATAGCACCAATTATCACAGTGATGGCAGTCCTAGAGTTAGATAAGCAATGAGTAACACCTGGGAATGGGAAGCATGGCTTGTGTCTTAGAGTAAAAGGGCTTCTCTGAGAATTGCCACGAGTCCCTGGTGTTTCCACAGCGTCTTGTGGCCCCGCAGCAGACTGGGGCTCTTGGGGTGCTCGATTCGTTGAACTCTGACTTCTGTGCTAGGGCTGTTATCGCACTAAAGTGATTTTGCTGCTGTAGGAGCTAGCCTTCCGGTGTGCCAGGGGTATTCCAGGCACTTGGTCTTTGCTCACAGGTCCTCTCGACTTAAACATGTGCAGACCCTGGGGAATTCATGCCCATTTGATATGTGGAGTGCAGCAGAGTTGAGTGAAGACAGGCGCTCAGATATGGTCCGAATTCTTTTCCCCTTGGAAATTTTTGACCAAAATAGCAGTGAAAATGTCCTTGGATTTCCCCCCCTCTCTTTTAGATGGAAATCGAAACTTCAATATGTTTCATCCAGGAAACCAAATGAAAAAGCATTTTCCCCTCCCCACTAGGGGAAGCAGACATTTTCTGTGCAAAATTTAATTTAGTTAGATGGGTTTTTTTCCAAAAACAGTTTGACAGGGTTTTGCACCCGGCGAAGTACTGCTTGCTGTTGAGCTCGGCCAGGGTTGTACTGGACATAGTGGCTTGTATAGGTAAATACCTGGGGCCGAGAGGTTATAGAGCAAAAGAAAGATGGGCAAAGAAGGACGGCGATCTGGAGAGGTGTATTGGTGCTGAGTAGGCTACCTCGGGAGACACCGGTTTCCATCCAGAGTTGCAAATCTGAGCCCTATACTGCAAGGGGGGTTTCAAGTCAGACCTCCCTGGTTATCTAGCTGTGAGACTACATTCATTTCTGAACTCAAGACCTTTTTCCTTCCTCTGACTTGGGACATCTCTTCCAACGGAGGAAGAAGTGTTGGAGGCAGTAGGAAGAATAAAAGAAATAAATAAAAGGGGCTGGGCCCAATAATCTGTAAGGTCTCTTGCAGCCCCTAACAAATAACAACTATGAGAGAGTGCTTTTGGGAACATGGCAAAATCAGGAGGGTTTATCCCCTTTCCTTGGGTACACTCTGCTGCCATCAGGGACTATTCAATGACTAGATACCATGGGTAATGGCACCTTTAAAAATCCAGTGGATGGGTACTATGAAAGGATATGGATTATGGATGGGTTACATCAATGCTATGGAAGCGGAGATGCCTTGGATGGAGGGGAGGGCGAGAGAGATGGTCACCTAACCAGACTGTCACTGTAGGGTCCTGTTACTGTCTCCCTCTGTCTTCTCCGGTTGGGTCTCAGCTCATGAACAGAGCAGGGTGGTCCTAGCTCCACATCCTCTGTGTTTGTACAGCATTGCGCACAACAGGGATCCCAGATTTGGGGTTCGTCTGTGGCTGAACCTTGCAAAGCCAGTTGGAGAAGTTCCGGGGCCCATGGCGCACTACCGTGCTGCAGTGGGGAACAGAGAAAAGCAAGATGCTTTGACCCCCTCTGACACTGAAGAAAGAGGGGGGACGGAGGGCAGCGGGGGGTGGAAAGCATGTCTCTCTTGCAAGCATTTGTGCCACCACGCTCCAAGCACCCAGATCCCTGCCAGAAGGTGCCCGCCGGGATCCAGCATGCGTGTGTTTGGGAGGGGGGTGGCGCGGGCAGCCTCTTTGTAGCGGCCGTGTAATTTATGATATGAGAGAGCACCATTGTCTGGGTCCATCCTGTATTTCTCTTAGGGCTTCGCCTCTCTTCCCAGACCCCTGCTGCGCTCCTGCTACTGTACCGTTGCTATGTGACATGCTCCCTGCACGGCCGCTATGTGGGGAAGGGCTGGGGAGGGGTGGCGGCGGTAACTGGGTCCATCTGGAGCCTGAGGCCTACCTCCCAATAGACTAGACCGAACTTGGCCCCCGTGACGCGCAGAGGGCCTGGGAATGGGTCTTTGAGTCCCCTCAAGTTCATGGCCACTGGAGGCATTCAGTTGACAAGGGGAGGGGGGGGGGGGGCCGG